CCGCTTTATTACGATAAAGAGGTTCAGGGAGTAGAGATCAAGGGCAGAAACGCATATAGGCGATTCGATAAATCGGTCTTCTTGAAAGTTGTCCAGCGGCAGCGTGGCGACGATCAGGAGGCATTCCGCCTAGCTCTCGGGGAATTGCGGCTGCTTCAACTATCTGTGGAATCCTGGAAGCTCCTTTCCAGCCGCGTACAGGCAAAACTAGACGATCAAGAGGTCGCAAGGTTTGTCAACGCCTTACGAGTATACGCCACTAAAGATAGGGTGAACGAATATAACCACTATCACCTCGACCGCCTCAGCCGGCCAGTCATCCAGGTCATGGCTAAGAACGTCGGCCCCGGCGCGGCTGCTGCGCCTGATGACAAGGCGGGCAACCTTGCGAAGCAGATCCCAATATGCATTGGCTCCCGTCTGATGCTGACGTCCAACCTTTGGCAGCCAGTTGGCCTCTGCAACGGCGCTCGCGGCACAGTTTACGATATCGGCTGGGCACCTGGGGCCGACCCCATCCAAGACCCTCCCTGCGTTATCATGATGGAGTTTGACAAATACAGCGGACCGGTATTCCTGACCACCGCTGATGGCAGGAAGATTGTGCCGATTCTCCCAGTGGAGAGGGACTTCCTCATCGGAGCCACTCTCTGCGCTCGCACCCAGTTTCCCCTGATCGTATGCTACGCAATTACCGTGCACAAGTCACAAAGCATCACCGAAGACATGATAGTTACAGATCTGTCCTGCCGGGACTTTCAGACTGGTTTAAGCTACGTGGCTGTCTCTCGCGTGAAAACGCTCGAGGGTCTGATGTTGGATGCACCATTTGATCGTAATCACCTGGTCTACGGGTCTCCCCCGGATGGCATGAAGATGAAGATGAGGGATCAGGAGCTTAGGAAACGACAGGTGCTCACACGGAATCCGTACATGTCACATAATACCAAGAATGGGCATGGCAGTGGGTCGGTACGTAGATAATGCGGTAGTAGTAATAGCTTCCCGGCCCGCGGACACACAGCCTTCGGCTGAGGCTACCCCATGCACCCCATCGCCGCTTCAATGTGCATGGGGTGACGTAGTATTTTACTGGTACAAAATGTCGTGGTACGCAGGCTAACAAGTGGAGATACATTAGAACCCAGTAGGGGGCGTCCGGTACATCTAGGTTCGGATGTCACAAAATCACGCCGGCGATTGACAGTGATCAACGATCAAATATGCCCCCTCAGCAGAATCTTACGCGATAAAGGCTTTCAAAAGGGACAGGACCTACCAAATTTTCACTGTCTGGCTAACGTATGTGTGATAGATCATCGCCCGTGGTCGTCCTCCCCTCGTTCGCTTCCATGTTGGTGCACATACTAACACTTTGGACAATCACATCTGACTTTTAAATCTTGCCGAGCGCTTGTTATTGGCGAATGATGATGGCAGCAGACAGAACTGATGATAACCCTTGGGGTAGTGAAACTCGTTCTCGACTCTAGTCTATTACTTCCAAAATTGCTACCGCGCGCGCCACCTACTCTGCTCAGCTCCAGACAGATTCCAGTCTGCATACTTAAAGCAGTCACTTAAAGGGCACCCAAATCAATCTGAATTCAGGGGCTTTCAGTATTATCACACTGGTTAGCCTTTATCGAGCCTTATGAGGAATTCCTAACTGGAAGCGTAGGTCACGCCACGCGTATTCATGAACCCGGAGATCAGCACAAGTCGTTTTGGGTGAATAACAACGTTGAGACAGAATAAGGTTCCGAGATCTTCCCAAACGGCGAAACGCCTGGGTTCTAACTTTATCTGAACAGTCTGACAAGGTACTGAGGTTTCCAAGACTTCAATTCGGGCCCCGATTTGAGGGCGGCTCGTAATCTCTATCCGGAGAGATGATATCCTCTGAAGAGCCAGGCATCTATTCTATGCTCTGAATCAGATGTGCAAAGTTAAAGGGTTGTCAAGGTCTTAGTATTCGCCATTTACAGCGACATGCTCATCTCTTCTGCCCTCCATCTTTCGCTCTACTCCTTCCTCTCTACCCTCCTCAGCTTTCCCATTCCTCCCTACCATCCTCCTCCTACGTCCAGCTCATATTTCCAGTAAGGTATGATTGTTTCCAACACAACATTAGAGCTCAAACCAAGTGCCATTGCCCTAAGCGGTCTAGGCCTTTTCTAGCCTTAGGTCGCTGTTAAGTGTATGGTGAACAGCGGGTGTTGAAAAGTCATTGAGGTTGTGGGACGACTTATAGGTAAGCGCCCAGGCACTTACTTCTCTTGCTGATGTAACTATTAGTAGCCACCAGCTACTACTGAATGACACCATCCTGTTCACGGCTACTAGCAGCATTCTCAATGCCGCCTCTCTTCAGCTACTGGTAGTAACTCATTGTGCGAGAACTTGCTGCTAGTATCTGAGAAGCAAAAGAGGGCAATTGGTTTGCTACTAGTAGCTGAGAAAACAGGAAAAGGAGGGGCAAGAAGTTTGCTACTAGTAGGGGTGGCTACTAGTAGCTAAGACGAAGAGCCTTCTCTTCAACTTCTTGTAGCAACCCTTGCCTCTCTTTCTATTCCCTCGATCCTCTCTTTAGCTACTAGTAGCAACTCCCTTAGGCCTCCACCTTAGGGGCCTCTAGCATTGTTATACACTAAATAACAAACAGGATGGACTGTGGACTGGCCCTGCTAATAGCTCAAGATGGCTTGTATCTGGCTCTTGACATTCTGTACGTCCAGGTACGCAGACTTTGATAAGTCTTATTAAGTGAGTACAAAGTCAATCAACTTCTTGCTCTCTGTGTTGTTTGATCCTGTCCCACTATCCGAACACGCAAGGGAGAAGATCGTTACTATCTGACATTTGCCAACCAGCACTCCGGCCGACTCAGACTATCAGGAACCAAAAGTGCAACCCTCCGGTCGGCACTGAACCCTCTAACTGCCAGTTCTTTTTGGCTTCTTGACCGCATATTTCCTCCGATTTTGGCCACTTTAGCTAATAGGTCCAAGAGGTTGAGGGGAAAGAATTTTGCCCGTTCAAAGTCCACAACCATCACTTTATTATAGTGTAAGTCGTATTGAGTATCAAATGGCTTACGTCGTGGTGTAATATCCATAGGGTGATACGTGTTCTCAGCAATAAGCCTGGCATGATGCTGTTCGCGTCTCCATCGCCTGATCTCGAGCCATGCCACGGGAACAATCGCCAAAGCTCCCAGGACGATGAGGGGATACACAGCTTGTGCGACTCGGTAAAGCCTCAATTGACGGCCACTGCCGTGACCTATTTGATACGCTCAAAAATAGGACGTTCAGCTTAAGTGAGAAGCAGGAGTTACCACTATCGCAGATGGACAAGCGAGGTCAATACTACCAAGACAGACGGGCGTGTACTTCTCCTGAAGGTCTCGAATGAGGTCTTAGCTTCCATGTACATGCTCTAACCAGGCAATATCCATTGCCTCAGCACCCTGGCGATAACCGTGCAGCCATAAGATCATAATTGCACCTTTAAGAAGTACTTACATGACCCTAGTATATAGTGGCATACAGTCTGTGTTATACCCACGACCTGGAGCAAGTTAATCGCAAATGAGATAAAGGAATACTGTGCGTCTGAATCAAGGTGAGTTCTTCTATAATTAAGACAATAGGGACGATTACCATCTATCGGCCCGCCTAATCCTAACCCTCAATATTTGTCAGTATAATGTAGATGCTCTTGGATGATTTGGCGAGCTTTACGATGCTCTTGGGTAACCTTCTCGCTTTGGTCTTCAGTTACACCGGAACTAGCTGTCGCATTCAGGATAGGGTATCATTGCACTACGCATTAGCGGAGTGTTCATTCCACTTTGCCGCAGTCGTCAACGCGATACTAGCCACATTTGATCTAAGAGGTATGCCCTTATTACAGCCCTACTAGTTCACCTGCTAACGGGTTAACTGGGCTGAGATCATCGAGCGCGTCGGCTCGCTGGCGCATCAGCTTACAGATTTACTGCGATACGGAAGGCCGCCACAGAAGAGGGGTAGACGGCGCGCCATTTCTTGAGATTTGGCCTTTCACCGAGATCAGAAGAGTTGATATTCAGGTGAGGGAGTTGTTACCATAAGGTCCGCGGCAACAAGAAGCTGAGGAAGAGAAGCAAATCAACACAACAACGGCAGGAGTGGGCGGTTGAAAGAGGCCATGAGGACCCGCCTGTAAAACGCGCCTTCATGCGGGCCATCATTGCGCCGCCTCTTGGTGCTTCACAATCTTCCAGTTATCAATCCAGTATGGTATAGCCTAGTTGAGGTGGCAGGTAAGGAAGTGATGTGCGGGAGGAGTACCCAGGATGGGCGTCGTTGGGCTGAGGATTGCAGGGGTAGTCAGCATCTCATTGGTCACGGTCTGGGGATAAAACTGCACCAAGCCCCTGAATTGCATGAGATGATAGAATTTTGCTGGGGGCCGGAAGCTAATCATGGACTTGAAACGTCTATTTCTGCAAGTGCGGTGGTCTCGACCAGTGGGAAATGGCCTTTGCGGGTTAAGAGCCAGGGAAGCCCATGCCCGTGCCTCTATCATGAGCCAGCTGAGTTGGGACGATCTTTTTCTACCTGAGCGGTAGGAACAAAATGTGGAAATGAATGAGTGTAACGTGGATACGCGGAGAAGAATTGGGACGATCAACTTTGATGGGCAAGTGCATGTAGACGGCATTTGCAGCGGCCCTCTGCTGGTCTGCTAGGAGCTACAAGCCCAAAGAGTCAACAACCCAGTCGCCGTAAAGAGGATCCACGATAAGACATACAACAGGGACCCCCTATATCTCTTGTGACAAAATGCAAATTGGAACCTAATTTCGGTTGTCATACTCTTCTTCTCGATGGCAAAGATTGTTGCTTGGGAATCGTTCCCTTGCCGTGCCCACGGTGGGCATCCCTGCCTTCTCGCGGATTCAACACAGCGTCACCCAGAACATGGCGGAAGAGGACGGAGTCTTTTAGAACGAATTTTGGCAGCGTTGTGGGCCCAGAAGCCTGCCGGCTATAGTTCCTATTCGCTGCCCCAGCTTCCGGTGGGCGGCCCGCTCGCCGGTGGCCTCGCTGCTCTATTCCTAATACGGCGAGCGTTGCAGCAACGTGGTCTTTCTCGTAGCACAAAGGAGAGCACGAACGCCAACAGTGCAGTATGATAAGCATCAAGCAATGTTCGCTCGTCAAAATGACTGGGAGATCTAGCTACTTGCGATGTCTCCCTACCTGAATTTGGCCACGGACCTCATATGTCCCATCGACTAGCTGAAAACGAGAACAGTATTTGTCGTCATTTCCAAAGTCAAGCTCGATTTCTTCTAACAAAGTAGAAATCTCTGTGGACGTAGCGTCATCGCTGAGGCGTATGTGGATGGTCTCGATGCCACGCAAAACAAGCAGGACATTGAGCTCCCCAATGTCACGCCATTTCTCCATGCTTAAAACTAGCTGCTTGACCTGGGTTAGTTGGTTGCCGTACGAGCGCGACAATGTTATTGCATCCTCGTCATCAAATTTCCACCACAGGGAGTCAGGAACCCAGAGGACATCCCGCGTTGGGCTAAAGTAGAACGACCATTCAGTACGCTCATGGTGTCTAAGTTGGTAAAAGCTCTTGAGCGTGTGTATCCGAGACTCCGTGCATACGGAGAGAGCAACAGGGTGCCGGTTCTGGCCGGACAACTGCCCAAATACATCTCTCGGGTTGTCTGGCGTCCGGCCTTCGATTTCCAATTCGGGATCCGATCCATCATCCGAATCGTGATCTGAATCGTGATCCAGTTCAACATCTGCTTCTTCATCTGCTTCTTCATCCGCTCCATCATCCGCTCCATCACCCGCTTCATCATCCGCTTCATCATCCTCTCCGAGCCAGTTAGAGATGGTATCATAGAGTTGAAATCTCATATAGTCTTCAATGTATCCAGTCTTTGGGTTAAATGGCGAATGAGCCCGGATCTCAATTACACGAGGCTCTGGCCAAGTTGCTTCCCAGATCATCAGGCGGACCTCGGCGGGAAGATCGGCAAAGGTTAGCGGTCCGGGCCTCCGGGGATTGGGCGGCAAGTGCCACGTTGAAAGCACGTGTTCCGGTCGGGAAGACGGTTGAGGCAAACGCTCGTGAGCAGTGGGCGATTGCTGTCGCAGCCTCGGGCCATAACGGTCTTCATCCACTCTAGATTCCTCGAGACTTCTCTTCTTAAGCGACTGATTCGCAAGCTCTGTACGCCGAGCCGCGATCTTCGTCGGAGTCATTGAGTATACATTAGTGACCCAGGTACAGAGCCCAAACTCATCAAGCCCAGACTCGACGATAGCCACCCGTCGCGCCGTTTGCGTGGAGCTCTGAACTAGCCCAAAAACAGCGTAGGCAAATCGTGCGTATAGAAACTCGAGCGTCGCTCTCCCGGGCGGATGAATCATTCGGTTGTGGAAGACGTGCGCGGGAACGAATAGGTCGTCGGCTGCGGATAGATAGTGCGCAACCAAGCGATAGCCATGGGACGTGTTCTTCGGCAGGAAAGCGAAGGCGCGTCGATCGAAGTCACCCAGGAGGTCTGCACGGAGGTGGCAGGTATTCGCCGAATTGCTAGGGCCGAAGTCTCCGCCACTGTTGGCAAGATAATCGCTCATCCGATTTCGGCAGAACCAAGAAGACAGAGCTTCGGGGACTAAGAGAGCTGGCTCTCCCTTCATGTTGCCCGATACAATGCAGCCATTAGCCGGCAATGACGCCTCTGTTGGCACGTCGTTGACACACAACCATGTCTCTGGGAGGCTGCCAGACGGAAACTGCCAGTCCTCGAAGCCACTGACGATGGCAAACGGCGAGACACCATCCACTCCTAACAGAAAGGGTGAGTTCGACATCGTAATCTCGCAGAAAGACAGCATACCTTGGCGAACATGTAGATAATAGTACCTCAGAGTCAGTATACCGTCATGGCTCATTTCCACACGTTGCCTCCCGCAGCGGTCGCGACTCAGATAGGCGCCTACAGCATTTCCCGCGACGATTTGGCACGCCGAAAGCGCTGTGCCGTGATGAATGCCGTATTCAAAATCCGAATCGGCTTGGTCATGCTTCGTGACCATATCGAGGCGGGGGAAACGGAGGAGAGTGCTCTCATGGTCAGGATAATGGGGATGTCGGATAATGACAGAAGGGGCTTCACATTGCGGCGCATGCCCGAGTGGGCGGCACGGCTGTCGAATTCTCATGCTTGCGCAAATTGTACGCCGGCGGTTGTAGAGTTAGGTCTGAGCGAACCCTCGAATGCAAACCATTGGGGGAATCCAGGCGTTTTATCCCTCTTTGTTTGACCCGACAGTCTGGTGGCCAAGACACCATCATCCTCAACTGGAGTTAATCTCCGGCTGTAACATAGTGAGGCGAAGTATCCGGATTCTATTGGACAAAGCCATTTGAGGACTGCCCTTGCATTAGCGCTTGTAGATAATCTCGCTCACGGCAACATCCGCTGGAAATTGTGACCCTGGCAGTCCCCACATCAAACGCATGATTGATTCTTCTCCCGAGGCCCACCGCGGGGCCTATTGGTTCTTTTTCTCGACCCTAAGCGCGCTGTGATGTTGACTTCCAGTCATTACTGTGCTCTTCTTGGAGCGGGGACGGCAAGACGCGACGAAGGAACGAGATTTCCTCTGTGGTGCTATGGCCCTCATACATGCACTATACTGCATCGAGGATGTTTTTCACAGGATTGGTTTCGACAAATCGGACACCGTCCCGGTAGAGTACGTCCATATGCGGAACGACCTTCGATCGTACAACCGCTTCATCTGCCGTCAATTCAACAAAATTTCCCTATTAAAGATTTCGATCGACACTGCATAAGGGCAGAAACATGGCGAATTATCCGGGGGTGGGAGAATGGTGATATTCTGCCTCTGAAAAAGATCCGGAAGGCGTGGCTGGCTAAAAAAGCGCGAGACCGTCCCCACGCTCGTTCATCTAGGACCGTCCTCCTTCAGACGCTCTTCCTCCTACCGTCTACTCCCACGGCACCGCCTCCGTCTCGAGACTCGAACAGCGCTCCTCAAATGGTACGCCTTCGCTGAGGCCGCCTTGGACAGGACCCAGAGCGCCTTCGCCAACATCTCCGAGCCTTTGATCCGTCCCCAGCAGTCGAACGGCGCTGTCGCCAGACTCTTCCTGCTCCCAAGCTCAAACCCTAGCTCGGAGCCGACTGACACCAAGAAGAACAACCAGCTCAAGAGTCCCTCGAACCAGTCGTTGTCCAGTGTATCCTGGACAGCAATCCCTCTTACCAGGCCGCTTCGGCGGACCACCCGCCATCTCAGCCCTCCTCGGCCACAGACCCCAAGTGCCCGTCTCCATTCAAGGTTCCTGGCTCGGAGAAGTTCCGGATTAGCGTCGGCCGAATCTCGGATTGCCCCGATCGTATCTGGCAATTGGGCTGTTGCCGGCTAGCGCGCCAGGTGCCGCCTGCCATCCAGCTGCGTCTTGAATGCAAACATCGGATGCGCGTATTAAAGAACACATCCTGTTTCAAAGCAAGGTGCCATGTCCACTGTACATCTATCTCATTCTGACCGGGGTGGTATAAAATGCTCGCAGTTGCAACACTCAAGCTAAGGAGACAGACAGGCCAAGAGACCTTGCAAGAGAACAGGGTGAGCTGTGGGCAGTTTTGCACTGAATGTAATAGCACCTGGACCCACAGTAAGTACAAGTTAACGATGTCCCGAGATATCGAGCGGTTACAGCGCGAAATTGCGGCACGAGGGATCCTTGCACCGATATGGCTTTAGATGAGAATCGACAAACTCCGAGGAAGGCCACTGGGGAAGGCAAGTTGGTTGTCGCAGCCGGTTGCTTGACCTCCGTGCCGTACAGTAAGACGGGTGAAGAGTAGCAGGCAGAAGCGACGGTTGATTTGGTGGGAGTGTCGGACCAATCGAATTTGGCTATCGGGAGAACATCACCGGCACACTCTATTTTCATTTGTTAGCCACAGCAGGGTGATTCGGCGGATCAAACTAGCCACATGACTCTTGAAGTCTACGGGGCGGAAAAATAATCAGGTGGAATCAAGAACGATGAAAATATTTTTTGGTGACCGGACAGCGCACGATCTTTCCAAGAGTCCAGCAATTCAGCCATTCAGCTGTTTGAGTGCAGGAAGCAGGTAGTGGGAAGTCCCTCGAGGGCTCTCCGCCTCATACACGGGCAGATCGAACAGCGCCTTTATGCCTTAGGCAGAAGTCCTGGTGCGTGCATTGACCGCCGCCCTGCGGGTGAGTCAAGCAGGCGGGTCACCACATGAGCCCCACATTCCATTCTGGGGTTATGCGCTATCATTGGTCGGATGGAAAACCGAATGGCCAATTGCTGCCGTAGCCTCGCGCGATGGTGCTCAGCACCATCGCTATGGCCTCCATTTCTGTCGTGTATGGGTTCTGCTCTTCTCTTGAACCGATGGTGACAGAGTATCTGGTAATGATATCATCGATTCTGCCACTTGGCGTGTAACGTATGACCCCTCCCATGCCTACCACCGCCCCTTTCTCAGAGGAGCTGGTCGCAATGAGAATACCCTTTGTATGTTGGCTGTGTCATCGCGAGTTTTTCTCATGGGCGATATGTATCGTTGCCACCTTGCGCTGCGAGCGGGCGGATGTGTCACCAGTAGGGTTCGGGTTTTGACATAGAGCTTGGGGGATGGTCCAATGCTCACTGGCTCGCGCAGAATACCGATGTAATTCCGATGCATGGCTGTGCGGCTTAGTAACTGTGTGGCTGTGCAGACTTCATCCCTAATTGTCGGCGGCGCGGCTTTCTTCTTTCCTATCAAAAACACAATTTGTGGAGGGAGGTCGCCACTCGCCATGGCAGATCAAGACCAGTCACGCATCATCGCGGACAATCCTATTAGGGACAGCCTCGATGCCTTTAGCGCTACATTCAGCTCTATGTGTAAAGAGAGGAGCATCTCTTCCTCACCAGACGCGCTTGGCCAACTTAGCCAAGAAGGTACGACTGCCAGCCTCACTGGTTACTCCTCTGACTAGTATGCAGAATTGCAGAATCTCGCATTCGGTCTCTTGTCAACGCTTCAGGTCCTTCCTATTGTGCGCCACCTCCGTTCCAACAGTGGTGGCAGAAACCTCCTCAGTGATATTCTGAAACTCACTTCCGCTCTGAACTCTGACGACTTTGACCTCGACCGCATCAAACCTCTTCTGAAGGCCGCCGTCACCGGTGATGCAGATGATTCTCATATCTGGAATCAAGTTTACAACGCCGTTACCGAATCCACCCCACCTCCCCGACCGATAGCCTCGTCGATCCAACAAACGCCGTGGAGTCAGAACACGAGCGGCTTCGTAAACTCGTCAGAATTCCGCCTGAATGTGGACCCGGTCCTAAAGTTGGAGCTCGGGCGTCTATATGTCGGCCTTTCTAATTTCTGCGAAATCTTCTTCAGTGGCGTGCCAGATATCGGGGCGGCAGCTGCCACCATCTTTCGCAAATGCGCCGAAGGCGACAACCCGCTCTTCGGCAGCCAAGGGTGGAAGGGATGGCCGACAGGCGCCAAAGAAAGCGATGTCTTGACTTGGTTTGGCGACCTGATCCCGAAGCTGGAAGCATTTGCAGGCGACTGCAATTTGATCCCGACACGTCGACGAAAGCTGTTGGCGCAGCCTAAGACGCCACTGCGAGGCTCTACAGGCAAACGCAGCATGGACATTGGCTTCGTCAACAGCGACATCGCATACAAGGCTCCGTCGAAGGAGGATGGCAGATTTCGTTGGTCACACATCCTCGTGGCCGGGGAGCTGAAAAGCAACCCGGAGGCCGACAAAGCTTCGATAGCATGGATTGACCTCGCAACGTATGCGAGAGAGGTACTCGCTGCTCAAGACACCCGTCGCTTCGTCCTGGGCTTTACTCTCTGCGGATCTCTTATGAGGGTATGGGAGTTCGACCGGCTCGGGGGGATCGCCTCCGAACAATTCGACATCAACAAGAAGGATGGTGGGCTACAGTTTGTGACCACAATCCTCGGATTTCTCTGGATGAACGAAGACGGGCTTGGATTTGACCCTACCATTATCACGTCCGACGGCGAACGGTATATCGAGATCGAACGAGACGGCCAGACACAGCGCCTCATCATTGACGAGGTCATGATGCGTGCGCCTTGCATTGCCGGTCGGGCGACAACATGTTGGAAGGCCCATCGCAAAGAGGACCCGCAGACGCCGCTCGTTATCAAGGACTCGTGGCAGTACACGGACCGAGACGAAGAGGGTATACTCGTCCAAGAAGCGACTGAGAAAGGCGTGGTTAACGTCGCCCGATACTACCACCACGAGACTGTTCGCGTCCGCGGTGCTGATGACGACGTTCGAAGCAATGTTCGAAAGGGATTGGACATCACAAAAGCTACGAATTATCGACCGGGACGCCCGATGTTGCCGTCAAGTGCGATCGCATCCAGTGCTTCCCGCAAAGGGCGAAGCAGCAGCGCTGGCGTGAAGCGACCGTCCAGCGAAACTGACGCCGCTCTGCCGCCGAGCAAGCGATCCTGTTCAGCATCTCCAACAAAGGCCAGCATAGACGCGCTGCCAAATCGGGTACATCGGAGGGTCATTCTTCGAGACTATGGGAAGCCGATCTACAAGGCAAGCTCTCGACTGGCTCTACTTGCCGCGCTGGAGGGCTGCATTGAAGGTCACCAGTCCTTGCACAAGGCTGGCCTTCTCCACAGAGACATCTCTATCAACAATATCATGATCAATGAGGACGACAACAACCCCTCTTGGCCTTCGTTTTTGATTGACCTTGATCTCTCCATCAAAGAGCAACGAGACGTCGCCTCGGGAGCAAGGGGAAAGACTGGCACGAGGGCTTTTATGGCAATCGGCGCGCTTCTGGGCGAGCAGCATTCCTTCATGCACGATCTCGAGTCATTCTTCTGGGTCCTGTTCTGGATATGCATCCATTACAGCAGGCCAGACGAGAGCAGAGTCGTTCCACGGTTTGAGAAGTGGAATTACGTCGATACAGAGGAGTTGGCTGGAATGAAACTCGGCGTTGTTGCGAAGGAGGCAATTTTCATGAAGACAATCACCGATAACTTCACGCTATACTATGAGCCACTTATCCCACTGTTGAACGGGATGCGAAAGATTGTTTTTCCTAGGGACAAACCGTGGGAACGGGAAGACGAGAAGCTCTTCTCTCGAATGAGAGAAATTCTCCGGAAAGAGTGGCAAGACTTGAAGTAACAGACGTGGGTGGTAGGTAGAATGATCAATAGAGAGGATTGCCAAGGCAGCGCTCTAGGCCAGTAGGCCCCCGTAAGACGTGTTCTTAGGACCCAAGTACCACACCCGATGGGATCTCCGGCCACGTGAGCTGCTGTTGACAAAGCCGGCCGTCCTCGTCGTCCTACAATTCGATAAGTTATCTTCTGGTGTGAATGGTCTTCCTCCTGTCCGTTCGAAATAGACTCCTCCTATAATTGGCCTTCTCAAGACGCCGCAATGGGCGACGCAATCTAACACCCTTTGTTCCAAGCTTAATTCGTGGGCGAGAGGTGTGAACTAAAGAAATACTTAGTGCCACGTCCGCGGTACGAACGAGCCACGACGGCGAGCCTGTCGACCCTGAGAAACACGATCGCTTCGCCAGTGGTCAGAAGACCATACTCAAGGCCTCCCTCAATCATGTAGTGGTAGGTCTACGTGACGGCAGACGCCGTCAGCCTTTCCGCGTGATACTGGAAAAGCGCGTCCGGGTCCACAGACGTTGGAATCGTTTTTCGATTGACAACGTCCTTAGGAATGTTCATAGCCCGCAGACCAAGACGAAGATGCGGAGCGGTCAGCTTGTGGGGGGGTTTGTACTCAGAAACATATATCATAGTACGCGTCGTCGCGAGCACATCGTTGGATCGATAGACGCAGATCTGATCGGGTCGCAGCTGATTGAGGTCTCGTCTGTGGTCCGGCGTCTGTGGTGGTGTTGAAGGAGTCTCCCGGTCCACGACTTCTTCAGCGACGTCGCTAATGGCATGGGGGTGATTCTCGAAGATGATGCCATTTCCCATGTCGAATGCACTGCTGACCTCATTCACCTGCTTGAGCTGCTCTATTATCGCTCTGACTGGATCCTCAACACTGTTGTGCAGGAAATGCTCGAGTGTCTTCTCGTTTGCTATCGATCGCTGGGAGACCCGGTTTCCCAAGCCGGCCAGGAAACTTCGGCTCTCGAAAGCGCGGCTCTGGGCAGGGAACGTGTCGTAGAGTGCACCAAAGATGACTCTCTGTTGTTCTAGGAAATCCGACCATGGCCTGAGACGTGTCGGACACCACTTGTTACGCGGATTGGTGATAGGGCCCTTCAAGGTCAGTTTTTTGTCTGTTTCGACGGCAAATTTGGAGAAGACGAGGTGATGGCACGCGGCGATGTATTCATCAAGTGTCGTGGGCCGGGTTTGTTCCTCCGCTTCCTCAGCGCGTTGCTGCTCTCTCTCAGCGCGTTGTCGCTCCTCTTGTCTCTCTCTCTCTGCTTCGTCGGCGCGTTGCTGCTCTCTCTCGGCACGTTGTCGCTCCTCCTGTCGCTCTCTCTCTGCATCGTCGGCGCGCTGATCGGCCTGTCGCAGAAGCCTTTCAAGTTCCTCTACACTCCTCGGCTGCGCCATCGGATATCGCGGCAGATGCTTGGTGGATGGAAAACGGATTGATTCGACATTCAAAACATATCAAGACAAGACGTCACGCTTTAGAATTGCGTTGCGGGGGCGACCACCATTGTCAGCGGGATTGAATAGATTTTGCTCCAGCATCCCGGCCAATCGCGTGACCCAGCAAAGCCGGATGAGCTCCGCCGGCGTGGGCTCGCTTGCCCCACTCTGTCTGCTAGGCATCCATGCAGGTCTTGATGGTGGGCCTACCATCCTGTAATCTCATTGGTAAGCTGCACCGCATCACGGACGCGACTGCAACACGAAATCACTTTCGCGTGCCATCACATGTTGTGATTGTCAGCTCCGGGCGTGCCAGTCGGGCCAATCACTTCCAGCCCGGCCCTGTGGTTTTTCCGGCTGCAGTCATAACAGCAGCCACAGTATCGGCCACATCATCGTCCACTTCGAGCCGCAACCCAACTGCCCATCCTGACATCAGTTGCAGATGCTTCGTACACCAGTTGGTTGCGATCCGTTACAATGTTCTGGTTTGTTCGACCTCGTCCACCGTCTTGCAGATATGAACTTACTTTGTGATAGTGAAATGTTGCCTCCCATAGCCGTTTCCATCACTCGAATCAGTCCTCATCTATGGATCCTGGGCTCCTCGATGATCTGCGAAAGGATTAAGAATCTAGAGCCCAAACCAGCGAATGCAATAATTGACTGGCAAGATGGCGGCAATACCTTCTACCTTCGAAAGAGGACTGCAAACGATTTGTCAGGAGGTGACGCTGAGATCGACAGGATGCATGTGGGGGGGACTTCAGCAGCTGTTTGGTGCCTCGGAGAGAATGCGTTCTGCAAGGTACATGCCTGGTGCGAAGGGCTGGAGCTTGAAGCCAACACTATTCAATTCGTGGGGGAGAGGGCCTCAGAAGTGCCCGTCCCAGAGGTTGTCTACTGGTGGATCGATCACGACCTCAACAGAACCTTCCTCATAACAAAGCGAGTTCGAGGACAAACGTTGGAACGGGCGTGGCCGCAGCTCTCCTCACCCCAACGCACACGAATTGCCCATGATATCGCGCGGTTCTGTGTTATACTGGCTGCCAACACTTCATCTCGGTTTGAAACGGTCACTGGATGTGGGGTTTACGAAGCTAGGTTGATGGAGAGCGCTCATCCATCCCATCCCACGTGGTTGCCGAGAATCCTTGGACCGTTCTCGCTAGAGGCCATCCGGGCCCACATGGCAAACATCTCGACTGAGCCTCCCCCAGACATTGACCCGCCCTTTCACTTCTATCATGCGGACCTTGGACCGACAAACATCATGATATCACAGGATGGCAACCTTGTCACTGGAATTATAGACTGGGAATCCGCAGCTTATTACCCACAATTTTGGGTGGCCACCAAGCCCGTGTATGCTGGAGCCTTTTGGCTTGAATGCGAGACCGACGAACCAAAACTATGGGGTCAGCTCCTGGGACAGGCACTCGATGCAAGCGGTTACAAGCGACTGGATGCAACATTCCGCCGCTGGAGCAGGTCTGTCACTTAGCGGGTGGGGGACGTAGTTTCACTGGTGCTTGTGTACCCCAAGAGTAGCGAGCTTTAATGGAGGAAGTACATGGCCCATTTTCTCCTCAAACCACAGAGACCTGCCGTTCAAACCCAACTCCTCCCACCGCCGCCGCTGAGGACCGCCATCTTGGACACAAAGCCGCATCGGCAGCGCTTAGAGAACTTTAGCCATGGCATAAGCTAGCCCCTAGTAGGAAGGAGTCATACAGCGGCGCTGCGGTGTGGAATCATTTCATTCCATTGACGCTCCACAACCCTCACACTTCGTGACGCTCGTATTGTTGTTGTACGTGCAATTTTTGTTCGTGCAGCGCTTCCCGTCCACCAGTTCTGAGACGATAGACTGGGCCATACTTGATGTCTGGCTGGCAAGAGGCTAAAAGGGCTGAAGTCGGTTCTAAGCTGTGAATGCAAATATGGGTATTGCAAAGGTGTCGAGGAGAGATGATAGTGCCAGTAGGGGATAGGGATCATTATATCAAGGGCAGATGCCAGGTAATATACAAATGATTCCAGGCAACAGCACGGCCAGCAGCCCCCAACACGCTTCCGAGCACAGTCAACGCGGGCGCGGAGAACCATGTCTCGGACTGACGAACGTGCTGTAAGCCGCTAATGCAGAGCGAGACACATCAAGGCAGCCGCCTTTTTGTTCATTCGCGCCCCTCCAGTCCTTTCCCTCATGTCGTGCTTGTATCGGTGCCATACCCCGCGGCTCAAGGGGGATGAGTCACGGCCAACAGCCCCTGAACGCTGGGTTTGACTTAGTTGAGCAGTGGGTACTGGCTGACAGGAGATGGTGACAGGGGACATTCGTGTTCTTTTGATGCCCAAGGGGGGCGAGAGCAAAGTGTCTGGGGCTTCGTGTAGGGATAAGGGTGTGGCGCTTAACGGTTCCCAGCCAATCATCTGGATTGAGAAGGGGTGAGCTAGGAACGACTGTGCGTTCACGGTCCCAGCCTGTTGTGGTGAGCAACGCGTGGCTCGATGACTGACTGAAGCTGCATGCAGACGGGGGGTATACCCGAAGTTAGCCGCAGATGCGTGATTTTCTGGGCCATGCGGGGTCAGTTCTAACCCTTTCCTACTGTGCTGTGGAGTCTGTGCTGTGGAGTCTGTGCTGTGGAGTCTGTGCTGTGGAGTCTGTGCTGTGGAGTCTGTGCTGAGGGGCCATCTGGTCTCTGTTCAAATTTGTGGTCTTGGCTGAGTGTTCTGGCAAACCAACTCAGTGTAAATGCGTTCAATTTGCACTACTGTACTGCAAGTTCTTCAACTCCAAACCCATTTGGGCCCGTGAAACACTGACTAAACCTATCCTATAAACCTTCCTGCCTTGTCACCGTTGGGATGGAGGAGCTCCGCAGAAGCTACAATTATATGGCCCCGGAGGATTGCCCCCGCAAAGCTTACATTTATCTGACATGTTTTTCCGCTTTGCGAGGGGTTTGTGGGACCAAGCACTACCCAGATGTTAGTATGAACCGGGGAGCCAGAGGAGATGTCCTACCTTGTCTTGTGTTTTTGATGTATGCAAATGGTGGATTTCGTCGGGGCATGTTTCTCTGAAGTGGTTAGAGGGTTTGGGATGGCAGAATCGTGGGTAATAAATAGTAGAGAGCACTCCAGTTTCGCCCCAAGTGGAGTGCGCCCCGAGTGGAGTGTGCCCCAAGTGGAGTGATCTTGACACCCAACTCACGTGGCGAAACCTAAGACGAGAGGGAGGAGTCATCAATTCCCCCTCATTGACATTTGACTCTTTCTGCCACGAGACCGCGATGGATTCCATATGCCACGTTTGCGCCAGGTGTTTCGAGAGCACCGAAACATTGCAAAAGCACATCCAAGATGAACGAGTGAGGTCATGCCAGAGAATTCGCGAAAGTTCTAGCTAACGCCCCTTCAGAGTCGATTGATACGCGATGTCCAGGAACTCTGCACCAAGGTTGGCGGCTCCGAAAGTTCGTTGCGTGGGCCTTGCTCACAGTTGCCTCTAGCCGTATCTGCCCGTCTCATCTGCGCTTGGCATCCTCGTACGCTACGCTACTCATTCAAGCGACTTGGATGTGGAAATAGACTTGGTGAATCCGAAGTCGGATCGCGGACACCCTGCTCCACAATCGATTCGAGTCCACGATGAACGAGACTTGACCTGCCCCGAATCCTTCTGCAACTACGCATCTACGAGTAACTATCAGGATCTTCAGCGACACTACAGAACGCGTACTACTGTCCTGATGTGGCAACAAGGCTGGACTAACATATGTAGATGTCGAATGCGATGAGGCCTGCCCTTTTTGTTCCAGGCCTCTCAACCGAGTATCACAATTCGTTAGGCATCCCGACGACTGCGCCGCTCGCAAAAAAAGGGGACTCGAGGTACCAGATGCCGTATCCAAACGACAAAAGACTTTATCCGGACAGGCCTACAACGAACTACGACTTGCGCGGCAGGACATCGAGCCATCAAGAAGGGTCGAGACAAATAGTTTCTCACCGAGCCCTCATGTTTCGAGAGGCACAGGTGCGTTACCACTCTCGTTTCTCCGCTGTATTTTGATGTACCTTGCGTTTAACTTCGATTTCCATTGTGTCTAGGCATCAGTTCAGCCGATACGACATCTGCCGCGTCAACGTTGAAAAACGATTCATCATCCGAATCTGTCTCTTCGAACTCGACAATACCACTGACGATAAGCTTGGCATGCGAAACTGGCCTCGAGGTAGTAGACCATTATTACAACCAAGCTCCACCTACTGCTCCGCCAGCATCGGCGCCCGGCGACGGTGACAATACCGAGACGGTACATCCTCCTGACAAGGACTCGACTACAGCCCGGAGGATCACCCCTTTCCCGGCAGACCTATCCCCGATCGGTGCGACGGGTCAACGAGCCCCGACCTTGAGTGATTCCCTCGTTGATGGGGGAATAATTTACCCTTGGGGTCAACCGCTAGCCGAAATGGGCCTTCCTTGCCTGTCAGAGTTACTCCCAATCGATGCAACAGGTCAACGAGCTCCAACACTGCGCAACTCCCTCATCGATGGGGCATTGATTCACCCTTCAGGCCAGGGCCCAACCGAAGGGATTTCTACCTGTCCGCCATATTTATTTCCAACCGGCGCCACGACAATTCAACGAGCCCCAACACTCAGTGATTCCCTCATCGACGGTGCAATGATTTATTCCACTCCTGACCAGTACGTAACAATGCAGGAAGGGATATCTACCTTTGAGCCAAACTTTGTTCTTAACAGCGGCACTCCTGTTGCTCCATCGAGTCACGGTCGGTCAGACTTGATCATACGAAGCAACGATAACGGCGAACGGGCCCCGACACAGATTTACTCTACTGGCGATCGCGCCGCAACTGATCATCATCTCAACCACCACACATCTACGGCCGAAGGTATCGCGGCCCATCACATCTGTTTTTTTTCAAGCGGCAACGCTGCGGACCAATGCTCGACACAAGTTATTGGCGCTGTCGCTCAACTTTCAACCCTTGATACATATTGTTGAGGAAGGACGTCAGTTGATGCCGGTAGGAGCCAGATCTCTTGCCATCACAAGTGTAGAATATCGCAGTAGTCTTCAGTAGACTGAGTAGACCGAGCCTGATCCTGTTATCCCAGGCATGAGTTGTCACTTCGGGCATGCTGTTGGCCAAGCGCAGTTGATGTGAATTCCTCCAACCTCCAGTTCATCTACCTTAGCCTTGAGCACATCAGAGTACGGCAGTTCCATTTTCCCCCAATTCTCAAGTTCAGCCTTCGTCGTAAATCCAACCATGACGGTATAGCCTTGGACAATAGAAAATTGGAGTCGACTGTCTGAAAGAACCCTGCGATTGGTGAGAATGTGGCAATCGGGCGTTTTAGACAACCTTACAATCCGCCACCTTTCAGGTCAACGATGTTCTCAGAGATGCCGTCTCTGTTCATACGCAGCTTTGGTGTTGCGAGAAGACCCCATGTCTTGGACACCGGTGGATCATCTTCAATGTTTTGTGATATTGACCCATCATAGAAGCAGACAATTGAGCCTGGACTCCAGAGGAGAACGAGGAGGCAGAACGCTTCCCCGACGGATCCGTTGTGGAGGCGAAATACATAGTCGGAAGGAAGTATTTGGTTGTATATTTTAATGAGCCCCAAGTGAGGTCGACCTAGTGTTGAATCCAGGACTCGACGTATGTCCTGCCTGGCATTAATCCAACAGTCTCAAGACAGGAAGAAGGGCACCGGACCTTTCTAACAAAGCTGTTCTGGGCTATGAATTCTAACCCAAGCGGCGATTTGATGGGAAAGCGGAGGTCGGAGAATTCCTCGATGCGATTACCAACCACATGATCTTCCAGCGTGTATACCCCAGTGCGTTGGATGGTTGCTTCCGCATCCTCGGCTGGAAAAGAACGTGGTAAATCCATGGCTTTCGAGCGTGATGTCGAGTCACAGTTGTGTTTAGGGATGCGGGGTTATGTCGGAAGTACCTTAACGAGTGTACCTGTAGGCGGTGCGAGCGGGTAGTTGCATTGGACAGCACATGACCTTTGGTTTGCTGGCCGCGCCGATTTCGGAGTGAAGGTCCTATAGCACAGGCTCCACAGCACAGATCCTATAGCACGTGTCCCAAAGCATAGGCCCCACAGCACAGGCCCCGCAGCGTAACACCACCTCCCAAATCTGGATCCATAGCACAGGTCTCAAAGCATAGGCCCCACAGCACAGGCCCCGCAGCGTAACACCATCTCCCAAATCTGGATAACAGGTTGAACTTGGCTGTTCGTTGATAGGAGAAATTTCTTGGCGTCAGTTCTTCTTTTTGGCCCTTGGCAGCACTGAGCAAAGACAACGAGGCTATTGACAAGTCTATTTTGGGTTCTAAGGGTTAGGGTTGTATGGGATAACAGTTGGGGAGATGTAGAGAGTTAATTGATCAATAATCTTCAATTGATCGCTCCATGCGGTATTGTATTACACGAATAAAGGAGAAACATGCGTACCTGAGAGCGCCTGCCAAATGTGAGTCTCAGAGATGGATAGTGGAGGGTGGCCGACTTCACACTGGCCCATGGTCGCCCCCAATGGCTGAAAATGAGTAGACCATGGGCGTGCATGGTGTGGATAGAGGGTCTCGGCTCGAAAGAGAACCGGTGAGCCCCGGTCTGGTTGCATAAGGTGGCTTGCATAGTTGCGGCCGGTTGAACCACATCCCATCGGTGAATGGTGAAGAACCAACGACAGAGAGAGCTTGGCATGACATGGAGTATGGCCTGCCTTACCATTATGAAGGCCAGGGCCAACGCAGACCTACAGAATCGACCTCAATTAGACCAATTCGTACTGCGGGGGGCGGCCAAGGGTGAGTGTCGACCAACAACCTCACCGGGATAGTGGTCCGTTGTTCGAGTGTGGTTACCCATACATGGTCGACTCTGACCGTGGATCATCACAACTCATCGATCAATGGCTAATGCATGAGCTGTCGATAGCGTGCGGTAGGGGTTGAGGAACGGAATCTATGTCCCAATTGGACAGACGTATGTGACTACTTTGGTGACCGGGCTGATATTCTCAGGGAAAGTGCATGTCACATTTGGCCAACACCACCCTGTAGTCCTGGCGGCCGTGGGGACGCCTCCGATCACTTGCATAAACGAACTGAAATTCCAGGCTGAGCAAACAGTCCGCGTCTGGTGGTTAAAGATGGAGGACATTGAGTTGAATCTAATAGCTGGTTAGCGACTAGAACAGAACAAGAGGGGGGCCACATACGGTGGCCCGGCTGGCGTTGTCGTGCTGTTCATCCTGCAACCGATCGGTCTTTGCCGTTCCATCGCACCTGCAGATAGCTGGGTTGTCTGTGAAGTAGGCTGCTTCTTGAGAACCCCTGAGATACACCGGGTTTGCCCAAAGCCAGAGGCCTCTTGAGCTCTCATCGGCTATAAGAGGCTTTGCAGCCCGTCCAAATTGAAGAGAAGATCCTAAATTCACCAGTTTGAACTCCGGTCCACCTTAGTATTCCAATCTTGTTTGTCTTTCTCACCACTTGGCTCAAGCCTGTCGTGATCTGACCCTTCTCAAGTGGCACTTTTATTCCATCTTGCTATTCTTGAGCGTCTAGTCACACTTGACCAATACTACTGGGGCTGCCAGCTCAAATTGTTGACAAGGCCCAAGTTGACTATCGGCATTCCTTGTTTATCATTCACACACGACTTCCCTTGCCATGTCTCAAAAAGAAGCCTCGCCGAAACCACCAGCGCCATCACCGCCGCCGAACATTTCCGACGTTTCGACGGACAGTTTGATCACAGGAGAGCAAACGGAGCCCGTGCCTGGAACTTCGGGTAAGTGACACCATAGCAAGGCATTACATGTCACTAAATATTCTTTGAATAGGCTCATCGACATGAAAGCACACTATATGGCTGGCAAACCACTCTCCAGTGTTGAGTAAAAGTTCACAATGGAAGAACAACGGATAGAAGCCGACGACCGTTGTGAATGGAGGCGGAAGTGGAGGGGGGGTGGAGATGTAGACTCTGGTATCTTCACTAGCAGAACCTTCGCCACGGACGAAACGGCGGAAGGTTATAGCAAGGCAGACTGAAGAATAGGCAGTGGCTGCATTATCTAATCCATAACTCCATCCTACTTCCTGATGGTGCCACTGTGATCAATTTCCACTACCACTGACTTCCTCCTTGGAACTGGCCGCTATTATCAAACCATGGGTATTCCCACTACGGCATCTTAATTGCTCTTGTCCGCTGAAGGATACATGGCACGGCACATGAGAGGTACCCGGAAAGCCCATCCGGGAGTGACCTAACATCAAGTCTAATGCAAGACATGGCCGGTATCACTTTGCGCGCGCAGACCCATGCGTCGCGGCCCGGTGCCCGTCTCTGATGATTGGAGACACGTAGAACAGTGAATATGCATGCTGGAGAGCCGTGATGATCATCCGTGTTGGTTGCAAAAAGTCACTAGCGTGTATGCGTGCCATGAACGTGCATGATACGGGTTGCGTAACCATCGGCAACGCCCCCTTGTGGGGATAATCGAACTCGGCCTAATGCACAGCAGCCCGGTTTGAATTCCATCAGCTTGTCAGATGGAGTGTGGGGGGTTTGGCTGGGGTTATGATAAACGTTGCTCTCTTCGGCACGCTGTGCGGTCCAAAGGTGATCCGAAGCTGGGCCGTTGAAAAGTATAAGAATGCCAGATGCTCTCCTCGAAGGAAGGACATCTTCACTCAGCTTCACATTCAGCGTGCAGCCCCAACCTTTTAACATTGCCTCTCGATCCTGCTTTGCTCTCTACTTCAACTTTCCACATTTAACTTGCACTGCCTTTCCTTAACACCAGGAAGTTCCCAATGATGACACCATCCAGCAACACCAGCCCTCCTCTCGTCCAAGAGACCCCATTCCAACAAATGTCCATCTTGGACATCTTCTTCCCGGGGTTCTCCCACATTTCAAGCACCATTCAACAGCTTCTAGCTGGAGACCTTAGCAGCTATGCTCACCTGATGTGCCTTTTTGGGTTGCTTGCCTTCTTCGGCACTTATACCCATAAGTTGAGGGTATTGCTCGAAGACCATTTTAGTCAGTCATTCCACTTCAATCCACAACAGCTCATCCTAACGTATTATAAGCATCCACCGTGTATGTGCAACGCTCAGACGAAACGTACAACATGGTTCTGGAGCGGGTCTCCTCTCGAAGTCTTGATAACGCCGCTCGATCCTCCATTGCACGAGTCAAGAAGCAAAGAGGCCGGGAAGGCCATACAGGCGAGGCCAAGAAAGCGCTCAGCTTCTCGCCTTGGTATGGCAGCTTCATCTTCCGTCACAACAACACCTTCCTCTCATATCGGACCTCGCTGAGGGATGTCGGCTTTCATAAGGAGGAAGAAATCTCCATCACGTGCCTGGGACGATCTTCCACGGCACTGAAGAATTTCTTGATTGAGTGTCGAGATGAATATCTCAATCTCATCAAGAACAAGACGGCTGTTTTCAAACACCGCAACGACCGTTGGGAGCGAGCGACAGCGGTAGACGCCAGACCGCTGTCGACCGTCATCCTAGGTGACGCGCAAAAACAATCATTCATCAAAGACGTTGAGGATTTCCTTAATCTGCGAACTCGACGATGGTACTCTACGCGATCCATGCCTTATCGACGAGGCTACTTGTTACACGGTCCTCCTGGAACTGGAAAGTCTAGCTTGAGCTTGTCCGTGGCTGGTCGCTTTGGTCTAGATATCTACGCCGTCAGCGTATCGACTGTCAATGACCGAACGCTCGAGGACCTGTTCGCCAAGCTCCCTCCACAATGCGTCGTCCTGCTGGAGGATATTGATGCCGCTGGTGCGACACATTCTCGTGATGCTGGTGGTGAGATTGCCAGCGAAAGGGGAAAATCCGCGGACACGAATTCAGTGACGCTGTCGGGGCTGCTCAATGCTATCGACGGTGTGGCCTCCCAAGAGGGTCGGCTGCTCATCATGACAACGAATCATATCGAGAAGTTAGATGACGCGCTCATTCGACCTGGGCGTGTTGACAGGGAGGTCAAGTTCCAACTTGTCGACAGGGACTTATCCACTCAAATATACCGTCTCGTGTTTGAGCAGCCAAACGAAGTTGGATTGAACACAGAGAGGCGAACTAAAGATCAATTGATGGTTGAACGATTTGCGGATGAATTTGCCGCTAAGGTGCCAGAGCACGAGTTCAGCCCGGCCGAGATCTTGTCCTTCCTCGTACAGTACAGGGACTCTCCCAGCTGCGCTCTGGAGAATGTGGAAGACTGGGTAGCGCGTACTTTGCAAGAAAAGAGGAGCAAAGGGGCTGGCTCTTGTGATGATGCTATGTCTAGAAGGGATAAAGCGTCCGCCAACCATGAGCAACATCTCCTTTGGTTTTTGAAGTTTTGGAACTTTTGGGGCTAAAGAATCATTCCTTACCATGTGTAGCACATGTAATTAGCCAATATCGCCTGGACTGAGTTCAGGAGATCAGACAGTCAATGTATTTGTTTTCACGTGATAACAACCTGTCATTCTGTTCTGCCAAACCACCTATTCCATGCTCGGAAGATATATTTGTAACATCCAAACGTGGATATCTATTGAACATTTACTTTAATTCAAACCGCCTAATTTGATGATTCCCTTCTGTTTTGGACTTCCGCTGCTGAGGCTGAACACTTGTAGAGAGGTTGGCCTTCAAACAGGCCTGTCAGAAGTAAGGCAAGAAGGAAATAGCCTAGCGTCCTAGCCCTATGGGGTTTGTCCTCCCGGGCGGAATAAATTTCATTCATTCAATCCTCATTGGTCACTGTGGAGCGGTTCTGCCGTGGTCGACCGCCTGTCATCGACATTGGTCGTGGCAAGCTGCACCAGGACTGGTCCCGATAGCCCCATGAGTTGGTAATGTCCCTGTCTACTCCAACTTAGATCCCATGATCCTGCTTTGCCACTCTTGAATAAGAGTGAAACGGAAACCCGCCTCGTAAGATACAAAAAGGCACCACTTCCTCCTGGTCTTGCTTCTCTCGAACAACGTGAGCAGCGCATCGCCTCCGTAGATCTGCGTATGCCAAGTATGCGAACTCCCGCCCTAGCCGATCTGCCGATGCAGGAACCTGGGTACGCATCGGAGTACGTCATTGGTGGAGTCATCATGTGACTCAGGTATCGAACCTTCTCGAACCTTTCACAGCCCCAGCGATCTATATGATTGGCTGCTCTCCGACATCTCATGCGAGATAACTGGGGCTGTTCGATGTTCTCTCTGAACATCGAACAGCACTACCCGCCAAAGGTTGCCAGGGCCTATCTGGGTAAACCCTCTCTTCGAATAAGCGAATCAAATCTGTTCCTGAACCTCCTAGAACCGGGTGAATTAGCAGGCTCTCCAGGTGACTGATAACGCCGGCTTCGCTGTTGAAGTTCATTCGACAGTGGGTACAGTGGAAGTGATCCTGCTTGTCTAATCGACAAGGGCAATAGCGATGACATGATTCGCTTACGCGACCGGTACAGCGAATTGACAGGACCAGTACAGGAAGCGTACTGGTACGGATAGACTGGTCCTATCAAATTAGGGGACCAGTATGGAAACTGTCCCGGTACGGGTGGACAGGTACAAAACGCGTACTGGTAGGTGCACAAGGACTTACTGGTACGCAAATTGGACTGGTACGGCGGAGCGGTGGGACCAGTACTGACCGTACCGGGACAAACCGTACCAGTACACGGGAAATGCAGGACCGGTACGGGGAATGTCCCAGTACGAATGGACTGGGACGCCGAAAAACCGGGACTGGTATGAGCGAGACGGTTGGAAGAGGGCCAAAAGCGTACACAGTGGGTCCCAAGCTGGGATTTTTCGAGGTCCTCGAGTAGACACCGCCAGCGAAATTTCCCAGACGAGGATTTTTCGATACCCTCGAGTAGACCCCTCCAGCGAAATTTCCCCAGCCGGGATTTTTCGAGGCCCCAGAGTAGACCCCTCCAGCGAAATTTCGCCAGCTAGGATTTTTCCCCAAGAGCCCAAGCAACCTATGGGCTGATGCTGGGACTAAAATTGGGACTGGAGGCAATGCCGTTACTAGGATCAATTGTGTCTAAAAATAGAAGATGGATCCTTTTTCTGGGACCATTTCACAAGGAGCCGAAAACGGCCACAAACCTTTTAATGCCAGGCCAGAATCAGCACCCCCAAATCAAATCTAATAATAGTACCTCAATCCACTATTTATACCGCATGACAAGCAGAATTGCTTCTCAACCTAAGTAACGCGTTTGCTGTATTTCTTAGTGCAATGGTGCTGGAGCTGGCCCTTTCATCTAAAAAGCGGGATAGGACGAAGGAGAATTTCGCTCGGGCAGTTCAGCGACTGATGAGAAGATGTGATCAACTAAGCGGCCGCTATGGCGCTGATTTCTATATTATGGTGCGCCAAAACCATCAGCATTATGATTATAACTCCTCTAAGGACCCTTCATTCCCAACTCCTCTTATTGAGATTGTAAGGGCTCTTACTCATGGCATTTTCCTGCTAGCTAATTGTATTGTAGGAGAGAGCTTATCCTCTGGCTATTAGAAGAACGCCAGCAACGTTCCAGGAGCGGGGAAAGGGCCCGGATTTGGGGAGCACTGATGGTTCCCCTGCGGCTTAGAAGGCGTCAGCCACTGTGGCTGCGGTTGTTACTATTTGTATGATTGGACTTGCGTACTATTTATGGGTTCTCTATCAGTTCTGGTTTCTGAGAAAGATCAAGTTACAGGCTACTACCGGGTAGTTTGTCATGCACGTTATGCCAAGCACTAGAAGGTCTATAAATTTAAGCGAATTCCACTAATCCGCTGCCAATCCCACTGCCAATCCCACTGCCAATCCCACTATTAATCCCACTATTAATCCCACTGCTAATCCCACTGCTAATCCCACTGCCGCTGCTAATCCTACTGTTAACCCCAATAATAATCCCACTGCCGCTGCTAATCCTACTGTTAATCCCACTATTAATCCCCCTATCTATCTCACTGGATTACGATTATACTACGGGCTATTGGAGTAAGCTAGAGTCTTAGCTCTTATAAGTGTTGGATGTAATTTATATACTATTAACAGCTCGCTAGGTATACAAACGACCCTAGACTGCCCCTGGACTCAACGCCAGATACATAGCTACAATCGTCAATAAAACGGAAGCGTGCTGATGACCTCGCCGCCACAAATAAGCACCAGATGTGACACCAAATTCATGCCTGCCCCAGCCGAAACTGCCATATGAGGAATCAGATAGCCTCATCTCGTTCGCGACGAACCCATCTCCCCCAGTGGGATTTGACTCGACGCTTGTGATGCCCGTCTACCCCTAGATCCCATACAAGGCCACTGAAGCATAGAAATAGAACATATTCGGACAAATATTTTCTGAGTCCGAGGTTTCCTAATCAGTGATGTCGCAAGAACCAGGAAGTCGTAAGTTGCATAGGTATTTGAGAGCACCTGAGATGTTAGCCTAACCACGTAGTTGACAACGTACCAGGTCCCTCTCAAGCTGTGACTCCATTGTCAAGACAGCAGTGAAAATCACCGCCCATGCCAAAACACCAAGCATCATAAACATTTTGGGGAGAGTCAAAGATGTCAATGAGCCTGATATCATAAATCCCCATTCCACCACCATCCAAAGCCGGAAAGCAATAACCGAGACAACAGGAGTGTATTTAGAAAAAGTATACCGAGTCTCGGGTAAAGTACCGATGATAAGCAACATTCCTGTAACAGCCGTGATTGATATTAATGGCAAGGGAATGAAATGTTTCTGACCCGGACTCCAGGAACCACTAGACCACAGGCACTGTATGCGGACTTTTAGTCATACTCACAATTCGGAAAGATAACTTACTTCTCTTATCATGCTGGAGAGAATAATGGAGCACGCCAAGTATAGTGGCCAATCCATCCCTTTTTTCCAGGTCAAGGTTGCAAACGCCAGCCCAGTTGCCATTGCGACGATAATTTGGGCGACGGCGAGGATCGTGAAAGTGCGCTTGTATAGATTACACAGTGACTGGGACTGAGAAAGTTCCTGAGAAAACAACACAATGTTGAGCAGGCTCGCCAGGTTGCCAACGGTACTCAAGACGAATGCCGCAAATACCATACTAGACTGCCAATGAGTAAGTGATTGCATGGTAATGAACAGAGGGTAAATAATTCTTGCTGTTTACACAAAAGAGTTGCTCGAGGTCGTTCCGTTCCTAGGGATAGGTAGGCTATTTATTCCAACATAGGTCAATGGCGTGCCAAGGGCTTGTACCCCTCCCCCTTTTCGCATCAGAACTCTACGAAGTTTCCAAGGAGCCTTGCAGCATGAATTTGGCTGACGCATGAATGAGGCACACTTTGAAGAGGGGAGGGTGTTGTCGCAGGAGGGCGGTAGATGGCGAAGACTGGTGCATCTGGGTATGGATTCGTTGGATGGTTACGACCGCATCCAGAAGGAGGATCACAGGACACAAGATCCCCTTGAGTACTTTTGTGAGGATGTCTTGGCATGTTTTGTCTAATAAGCTGACCGGGTTGCCTTACTTGACTCATGCCACACGCTCCGATCTTTCACCTCGGTCTTATTTCCTTAGGGAAAGGGCTACTTGTTGGCTGGATCCCCTCCCCCCATGTGTGTTTGACTTGTTGTCTAGAGCTGGTGTCACTCACTGCACCTCCACAAGTATAAGCAAGGCAGACTTGAGAATCAGGAATTATGCCTCAACACGTCAGTCAGATCACGTCATGGAGAGGCTGAGGAGAACATCGGTATGATCATGCCAAGCGAGGGGTGGCAGCCAGAAGAATCAAAGGACATGGGTCTCGTTCTCAGCTCACATCAACGGCTCAGCCATCGAGACCACCTCTTCACCAACCAAGTAACTCCAGGAACTGTGCCGAAAGCCGAAGAAGATGATTCCAGTCAACCGAGCCCTTGCTTAGGATCAAATTGCGGTACACTGCCCCGAGAACTCTACGACGTGGGTTTGATCCGCGCATACACGAGGCACATTTTGAGGAGGAGTCCGTCTCAGGATGCGCCGGTCGGTGACAATTAGCCTTGTCATTACCAATAATAGAGGGTCTCTCGGCAGGGGGTATATCGAATGTGATGGAAGGAGAGTCAGTGGATATTGAGTTGGTGGGAGGCCTGACTCTTGGCCACCTCTTCATTTAGGGGATGTAGAGGTGATGAAGAGGTGAGTGAATCAGATTGCATCCGAACCTTCTCGACGTAGTGGCCACTGGACTCCCGGCCTGCAGCTCTCCGTTGGACTACTTAAATGGACACTGTACCCTCTCCTTTTACTCATCTCTCGACATGAAACCCCATTTCTTGGTACCTATTGTCCCTTGCCTACAAAATCTTCACCCAACTATCGCCGAGTTCCCCTCAGGCTCTGTCGTTCACCTTTAACATTACGGATAATTATATTGGGTTGGCAAGTGATCCGATAACCGATAGAAATGTAAGTGTCAAATGGACATCGTATAGGACTTTACTAAACTGAAGAATAGACATTATGGATCATCTTCAAGAGAGAGAGGTTGGATCAGTGGCGAGATTCACAGAGAGTACTGTGCGGTCAGAATCGCAACTTCATCAACCGCAACTGGACTTTTCATCTGCAAGCTCAAGGCAGCCGACCAGCGTCTCTACCAGAGTTTCAAAACGAATGAAGACGCCAACGCGGAAGGCGAATGAAGCTGCCGAGACCATCCGGGCTCTACAACGATCGCGATCGCGCGCTATGTCAACGAAACGCCAGCCTACACCCAAAACGGTACATATAGGTTTGTGTGCTCCCCGCAATAGACACTGAGCTAGGTTAACCATTTACATAGATCAACCAGAAGTTAACGAAGCCGTCACTTCTGGAGTGATCGGGAAGTTTTCATGGAGATTCCTAGACTCTGAAGGCGACATCAACATGCTATCAGTGGAGGAGATGGTTTCTTCGTCACAAGATGAATTGGATAGATATAATAGGGAGTTTGACATAGCTTGCCTGTGGGGGATTTATCAGGCTGGACTAATTCGCCGTCAGCATAAAGGAGAGGAGATATAATATAAGTATATTACTACGGATTGGTTATATATGGACACATTTCTAAACTACATTCAACTTCTTCATTTCTATCAAAGTACTGTATAGCCCAGATCTTAGCCATTCCCAAGGTGACTGTGCCTTCGCATCGCGCCCTGAAAGTGTTCTCCCCTTTTTGGGATTACAAAGAAGTTTTTGCCGCTGACGAAGCTGGTTCAAGCCACGAGAACTCCCGCAGAGTTTCGGGGAACATTCGGACAGTCAGGCGGGACTCAGCCCTCAGCGGATCCAAAAGCCTGCAGCAAGGTCTTGCATGATGACCTGTCAGTCGCACATAGCCGCTAAGATCGTTATGGGACACTTCTCCGAGGTGGTGCCGCGGTGTCTGTTGGCTGGGGCATGCAACAGCAGTCGCTTCGGGCTTTACTCTAAGAGCATGCCGAGGGAACAGGGACGGCTCCCACGAAAATATTGCCTCCATTCTTCCATAAACCCTGGAAGACTGGGGTCCAAGCCCCCTTACCTTGCATAGCACTTGTGTTATCTGTCCCTGGGGTGTTGGTGTAAACTGCATGTTGGGGAGGTGTGGAGTAGAGAGTGTACCTTATTATCAGCAGCTCCCACCCTTGACTGGCAGAATGGTTAAAGGAGGCCGCCAGAGTTGAGGCATAGATTAATGATCACAAGACTAACTCTTGGCGTGCCGATCTGGCGGGCCAACAGCACGGAGAGGCCGACAGGTCAGGGCAATGCCGACATGGTCATGCCAAGCGAGGTGTGGTAGGAATCATGGGGGTGAAGAATCTTCCAGCTGGTTCAGCCGGCTCAGGGGTCGGTGATATATGTGGATACTAACTTACGCCCAGGGATATCAGACCGGCTTGGATACAGCAGCACCTGAAGTGGTGAAGATGTCGTCATCAACGGGCTCGGGATGCAAAACAAAATGGCTGTGCGAGGAGGCTTGACCATCTTGCGGGCGCTACCTCATTGTATCAAGTAGCATCGTCATGTCCGGATCCTTTCCACATGGGGTAAATATCCCTCTTCGTATCTCTAAGCTGCCTGGCTGGGCATAGCTACGTAGCCGGGTTGAGACAGCCTCCTTCCAGGTTCACGCCATTGCATGTGTGACACACCGGCTTCATGCAGGCTGCCTTGCTTGACTCGGGGGCTTTTTTCTCGGGCTTATCTCGACCCAGGAGAACATAAATTCACGGTGTCTCCCCATTGCTTCTGAATCCTCCCATCCTACCGTCTCCGAGACTTCATCTTCTAGGTTTTATACTTACAAAAAATGTCTTCGCCTATTCTGGGCGACAGCCCTTCTGTGTACGATCATCCTGAGAGGGAACAAATCACCTCGAAACACATGCCTCTCGAAAAGCACAATACTAGTCTTCGGACGAACACTTCCACCGGTCCAAATCCCATCGCCCCTGGCGATGAAGATAGTGCAGGTTGGTTCTCTACTGGGCATTTACGAGAAAGCTTCTGACCGAAAGTGCAGGCCATGTCGTTCGTGCTCAGTGCACTACCTGTCACCATCAGTCTCCTAGGGGTGACTGTTGTAGCGAGAAAGGATGGAAGTCTGAGTTCTTTCCAAACGGTGAAGACCCTGGGACTCGAACTGAAATGAACAGTCCCACCCGCTATGAAGATTTTTCTTCAGCTCCCCAATCCGAGTCCCTTCGAGGGCCTGGTCATGGCACCAGACCAACTCGGAAGCCTCAGGGAAGGCGCAATGCGAAGAAGTCAACTCAATCTGCCAGGGAACCTGAAAGGTCAGGAAAGATCCAGAAGAAACAGTCAGAGAGGCCGAGAATGGATGGCAACACCTCGAGAACTGCGTCGGGGCGGTCTGTTACACCTAGGATACAGAAGGCGCTCCAGCTCTTCCGGGAACAACTGGGGCTTCTGGAAGAGCAGAACAAGAGGCGGTTGGACGCGAGCCAGGGAGAACCGTCCGAGAAGAGGATCTAGACGTTCTAAAAGTTATAAAACTAAGACCAGCTCTACCTTTACGTCCGCCACCCCAGACAGGTGCAGCATGTTAGATTATACCATTATATCATTCCTTTATCGTGTACCTCAAACAATACTCCCAATCACGTCTCCTCACGATAGCCAAGTCCGCAAAGGAGGGTCTTTCAGCATACGGTTGGGTAGGTTAATCGAAAATTTATAACTCGGACTATCCTATGGCAACCTATAGAAGTGGAAAGGAAGGAGGGGTAGTGTGACGATTGGATTCCAACTTTGTCAACCGGTGGGCTGTGTGACGATTGATTGATTGATTGATTGATTGATTGATTGATTGATTTCATTTCCGTCCTGAGGGCAAGGTACATAAGCCCACTAGACCTCCTCACCTCCTCATGGAGTAAAAGGACGTGCTAGGCTAGCTCAACATGATTTCCACCCATAGCTTCCACCATCCTTAGCCATCTAGCAATTCAGCGGCTCAAGGCCTGTGATAGTTCGAGCCCGGCCCCCGTCAGCGGGGCGGCGGCATCCCTCTGCGCTGGCTATACCACATGCCCGCAACCTTGTGTCAGTTAGCCCCCAAGGAGGCATCCCCCTGAATCTAGCAGCAGCGGCTCGCATGGATGTGGCTTGTCCTGCAAGTCTCATGGAATACGAGTCACATAAAGACAGAGAGGAGGGGCCTAAACGAAGGCGTGTCAGCCCGGCTTGGCACTTTCAAAGGACCATTTACTGCATGCGGAAGGGATCTGAACATGACATGGGGATAGCGTCAAAAGACTCCGTTGGTGGTACTTTATGATACTCCATGGGCAACCAAGCCTGCCTCACAGCCACGTTTGCATCCATGGACGCAATGATGATAACAGCATCGCCATCACCGAATGCTAGCTCACAAACCTCTTCTTATCCTGAACCGTTGATACGAGTTGAGAATGAGGTACATGTCCTTTGATTCCTGTGGCCGCCATCCCTCGCTTGGCATGCTCATGCCGATGGTCTGTTGCCGCTTCTACTTAGTCTCTACGCGACGTGCCATAGGGTGTGGAGGCATGACCCTATTTCTCAAGTCTGCCTTGCCCATGTTTGTGGAGGTGCGGTGAGTGATACCAGCTCTAGACATCAGGTTAAACACTCATGGGGGAGGGGAATCAAGCCATCGATTCGCTCTCCCCTTCGGGTCAACGGGACCGGGGTGAAAGATCAGAGGGTGTGGAATCACATTAGGCAACTCGGTCATTTTGTTAGACCAAACATGCCGGGGCACCCTCACAAAACTGCTCAAGGGGCTGATCCTATAGTTCTATTACAGGACGTGGTCGTGACCATTCAGCCAATGCATGCCTAGATCCACCAAGAGCTCGTGATGGGTTGCAGTCTTCATTATCCACCACCCTCCTGCAACACCCCCACACCCCCCTTAAAGTATGCCTCAGCCATGCGCCGACTAAACTCATGCTGCAGAGCTACTTAGAACCTGCGCAGAGCTCTGATGCTAAGAGGGGTTGGGTGGGTGTCAGCCCTTGGGACGCCGTTGACCTGCGTGAGAATAAATACCTGGCGATCACCAGGAACGATCTCGGGCAACTCTTTTATGTAAATAACACGACCCATTTGCATTCTTCTCATTACCATGCACTCACTTACTTACTGGCAGTCAGTTATGGTGTATGCGGCATTCTTCTTGAGTACCGTTATTAACCTGGTGGGCCTGGTTAATATTGTATTGTTTTTTCAAAAAGTTTCTGAGTCCCAAGCACTCTGTAATCGACACAAACGCGTGTTCACGATCCTCGCCATAGCCCAGATCATCATCGCAATGGCAACTGGGCTAGTATTTGCAACTTTGGCGTGGAAAAAAGGGATGGATTGGCCGTTATACTTAGCGTACTCCATCATTCTCTCTAGCATGATTAGAGAGGTAAGTTGTCGTTCCGATTGCGAGCATGACTAATAATCTATATATAGTGCTTATGGTCGAGTGGTTCCTGGAGTGTGGATCAGAAATATTTCATTCCCTGGCCCTTAATATCAATCACGGCTATTACAGGAATGCTGTTTATCGTCGGCAATTTGCTGGAGACTCGGTATACGCTTTTTAAGCACATTCCTGCTGCATCGGCTGTTGCTTTCCGGTTCTGGATGGTGCTGGAATGGGTGATTGTTATTTCAGGCTCCTCGACATCCTTGACTCTCTTCAAAATGCGTCTGATGCTTGGTGTTTTGGCATGGATGGTGGCCACTACTGCTTTGACAATGGAGTCACAGTTAGAGAGAGACTTGGTATGTTGTCACCTACGCGATTAATTCTTCGTCTCGTCCAGGCTAATATCTCAGGTGCTCGCAAATACCTATGCAACTTACGACTTCCTGGCTCGTGCGACATCACTGGTTGATAGACTGCGTACTCAGAACCTATTTGTCCGACTACGTTCAATCTTCGTGTTTAAGTGGCCTTATATGGGATTCAGGGGTAGACGGGCATCACAAGCGTCGAGTGAAATCCAACTGGGGGAGTTTGGTTTGGCGCGAACGAGATGAGGACTAAGAGTGGCCAACTGGAGAGAATCAACTGCCATGGTCATCGTTGGTACACCTTTGATTCCTTATTTAATGTCCTCACTTCACAAAAGCTTGGCTCGTCAACGTGCAAGGATGATGCCTCTCATCCTCTGCGTTCTGTGTGTGGGGAATCGTTGCCTTATCCATTCCTGCAGAATAGTCAAACCCAATTAAAAGCAATGGCAAATTAGCCTGAAGGAAAACACGTGCATTCAATATACTACTTGTCTGGGTTTTGTACTAACGCCTCGCATTGGCGGCATCCGAGGAGCGTAGGCAATTCCACAGCCCCGATTTTATAATTTTATAATATCTTGGACAAGACACTACCACCCAAGCCCGAGCCACATGGGCTCGCGATTGCGTTGATCAATGGATTGATTGGTTGGTTTAGTAGGCCTGACGAGGAGAGGGACAACTACTCAGAGATTCTAGAAAGTTCTAGCGCATGTGACCACTCGTCGCCTTAATCCACTTGTTGCCTTCATGACCGGCCTAGTGACCTGGTGTGTGTGAGTCCACTAGTCCTTAAAGCGTAGATTCATTTTAGAGGGTTTCCAGAAGCTTCGATACTCCACTTAGCTCGTCTCTTCTTGAGCCCTGCCATGACTACACTGGGCTATTACGGTATCTGTTCTCGCATTCTGGTAACGGTCGGGTTGTCCGAGCAAAGCACATGCTTTGAGAAGGTGACCGCAAACGGAAAAAGCAAAGACTCAAGTTGGCGGACCGCTTAGCTGTTGAGGATAGGACACAGAACACTTGGAGAAGTTTGCCCTCAAGTGGAAGAGCCAGGTAGAGAGAGAAAATATGGGGCGTCCGAGAGATCAAGACCAATCGTTGGAACTGTAAATAGCCTAGCGTCCTGGTCCTATGAGGTTTGTTCTTCTGGTCGGAATAAATTTCATTCATTCAATCCTCATTGGCCGCTGTGGGCGGTTCTGCCATGATCGACCGCCTGCCATCCATGGGGCGTGACAAGCTGTACTGAGACTGGTCCCGATAGCCCCATTGGTCGAGATTGTCGGATAGACCTCTACTTCGAATGTCCTAGGCTGGGGTTTGGCCGAGATTGTCGGATAGACCTTTGCGTCAAGTGTCCTAAGGCGGGGTCTATTCGAGCTCACCACGAAAGGACGCGAAAGCAGGTCCCGGGCTTCAAACTCTTATGCTTAAGAAAAGTAAAAAGTGAGCAAAATATTTCTAATTTCTAAATTCTATGTACAGACATTTCTCTGTCGTCTAAAATAATCGAGGATGGACAGGGCACCGCGCGGGGCGGGCGTGAACTGCTGTTCAATGTTCATTTAAGCATCGAACAACGAAGCGGGACGTGCCACGTGATTGGAAGGCCTAGGCTTATGATGTAAGAGTGGGTATCATCAGCCCCAGCCACAAGAGTATTGTGGCTCAGTAAAATCACATTAAGCGACATTTTCATGCCTGGCACGCGCAAAGGAAAAAACCGGGCAGAGGGCGTTGGCAAAGGACAGACCCTGGCTCTTGACCTGACATTCAGCTCGCTCCCCAAGCTTTAAATAGTGGGGTCGTAAGGGCGATCCAACATACTTCAACATGGCACAATCGACGCCCCTCGTAGGACTCCAGGTCGACCCAGGGTAGTGACAGAAAATATGTGGCTGGCTTTGCAGAGCCAATTAGATCAATACCCTTGCATGAGCCAACAAGGCATGGCTGATTTTCTTCATAACCAATATCGTGTCAGGGTGTCACGATTCACTATCGGTAGAACGCTAAAACGAGCCGGATGGACTAAGAAGGTCACACAAATATCGCAATCTTGTTTAGCCGGCATTTCCGATGGAGGCAAGTGCTTCTCGTTGACGATGTGGATGTCACTCTCGTGCGCACGGCGTAGGATAAAAGGAAGCCCCGCAAAATGCCTCGAACTCCTCCCCTGCACTTTTATCCGTGCACTGCCGCCAGCCGTGCTGCCGCACGCCACTTCGCGCGGGCAATATCAGGTCCAAAGCGAGGCTAGGGCAGAAAGCGTAAGAAGGGCTTGAGGAACATCTGCCCATTGGCCAGACGAGATCCAGGTCCATACGCTCCGTGACGAAGATCTCCCGACCGGGCACGAGCTGGTAGTGGAGCGGACGCAGCGGCATGGGCCACCCCGCGACCCAGAGTCAGCTGTGAATGCTGGCCGGCCGCTCCAAGTCGAGCTCCTCCTCAATGCAGGTCGTGACTCGACGACTCGCGGCGGCCAAGTCACGAAGCTCTGTGCGGTACGATGCAGGCGAGGCTGGACGTGATCGTGTCGCGACGCGTCGGCGCCATGCTCCTCTCGTACTCGATTGGCTGGGATGGAGAACGGAGAACTCTATTGACAGTTTTGTTAGCCCGAACACGTCGGCGATGGGGAAGCACGAACTCGAGTACCCTTGAAGAGACGAGACACAACAATAACGCATGATTGGTGAAGAGCGTGTGATGCGCCCTGCCGTACTAGCATGAGAACGATATTATTGGGCGAGAGGTGCCCATTCAACTGCGAGTAAGCGCCCGCGGTCGAGGGGGGGTGGCCTCAGCACATGACTGATGATAAATTTCTTAGCGGCTTGCTTCTGCCTAATGTTGCCCAACCGCTTTTTGTTTGAGCGAAGGTCGCGGTGTCCTGGCTTCATTCATAATCGTTGTTCTTTTTTGAGGTACTGTACGCTCTGTCAATCGAACTTTAGCGCAGATCCTAAAATCCCACTGAACCCCCGCGATTAGAGGGGACAAGTTGCGCTGTCAGGTTGGTTGTTGTGCTTGGCGACCACAGCGGTCTGCAGGCGGATCCAGCTTGTCCAGGTAGAGGCAAGTGCTCTTTCTGAGAAACCTCGGCGACCAAACACTAATTGTCCTTTGTAGCTCACTTTGCGTCTGGATCATCCTGCGAGCGAACATGTCTAATCCGAACGACTACACCGTTGGCTGGATCTGCGCCATAACTACGGAGTACGTTGCCGCGCAGGAATTTCTCGACCAAGAACACGAAGGACCGGAATATGTGTCTCCCAATGACACCAACCATTACACACTAGGCAAAGTTGGGAAGCACAATGTCGTCATCGCCGTCTTGCCCGACAACGAGTACGGAAAATCCTCTGCCGCAAGCGTTGCAAGAGATATGCTGCACAGCTTTCCTAATGTCAGAATCGGTTTGATGGTCGGCATCGCCGGAGGTGCGCCTGGAAAGCATGATATCCGTCTTGGGGATATTGTGGTCAGCTCTGCTGGCAATGGAAAGGGTGGGGTGTTCGGGTACGACTTTGGTAAAGCGATACAAGGACGGGACTTCCAAGAGACAGGGCTCTTAAACCAGCCACCAACCCTCCTTCGGACGACAGTGAGTGGACTCAAGGCCCGCTACGAGAGGAAAGGGCATCAACTCGCAGCGACTACCAACATGATTCTCGAGAAGAACCCAAGGCTCCGGGGGAAGTACAAACAGCCAGAAACAGGTGCCGACAGACTATTCAAACCCGAAGTTACTCACGACTTAAGCTGTGCGGCGATCTGTAGTGATGATGTATCAAACTTGGTATTGCGACCCGAAAGGACCAAGAACGAAGACAACCCAGCCATTCATTACGGTCTTATTGCTTCAGCAGACCGACTGATGAAGGACGCTTCGGCTCGAGATAGACTTTCAGAGGAAAAGGACGTTCTTTGTTTCGAAATGGAAGCGGCTGGGCTGATGAACCATTTTCCCTGTCTCGTCATTCGTGGTATATGCGACTACTCGGACTCCCACAAGAACAAGGAGTGGCAGGGCTATGCAGCAATGGTGGCTGCTGCATATGCAAAGGATCTTCTCTATCAAATAGCTCCAAACAGGGTTGAAGCTGAAAAGAAGATCGGCGATATTCTATCCGGTAATTCTAAGGTTTAGAATCATACTATTAATACATGTTAATTATATATAGGCCTCCAAGGAGTTGCAGAAGAGTCCCGGGACATTGCAAAGGAGCAGCTCCAAGCCCAGAAAGATCTAGCCAAGGAGAGGCTGTCCAAAGAAGAACAAAAGTGTCACCAGCTGTTCCGCCTCACAGCCGGCAGCAGGGACGCCACATACGAGTGGTATAAAGACCGAGTGGAAGAAAGGGTTGAAGACACGTGCATGTGGTTCCTCAAGCACGAGCACTTCCAGACGTGGTTGAACCAAGAGTCTGGCCCCCTGCTGGTCTCAGCGGATCCTGGCTGTGGAAAGTCGGTGCTGGCCAAGTACCTGATCGACCACGGTCTGCCACGATCGACAACTATCTGCTACTTCTTCTTCAAAGACCAAGACCAGAACACCGTCCGGCAAGCACTTTGCGCACTGCTTCACCAGCTCTTCTCTCAGAAGCCGTCTCTGATCGAATATGCCATGACACAATTTCGAAAAGATGGGCCAGGTTTGATCAACTCTATGGAATCCCTCTGGAAGGTTCTACGAAATGCTACAAAAGATCCCCAGGCAGGACCTGTAATCCTGGTTCTTGATGCCCTGGACGAATGTGCCGAATTAGATTTTGCGGACCTAATGCGGAATGTGGAGAGCCAATTCCGCAACGACTATTTGGGCCATGGCAAGTTGAAGTATCTTCTAACATGCCGCCCGTATGACCAGATCGTGTCCAAGTTCCGCAGCCTATTGGACACTTTTCCAAATATCCATATACCAGGAGAGGAAGAGTCAGAAACGATCAGCCAGGAGGTAAATCACGTTATTACACGCCGGATCAATCAGCTGGGGATAAAGAAGCGCTTCTCATCCCAAATCAACAGCCACCTGGAGAAAAGACTACAAGAGACTACCCACCGCACGTATCTCTGGGTATACCTTGTGTTCGACTACTTGGAGAAAGAAGACTTTAAAAAGACACTAAAGGGGGTCGAGTCCGCTATTGCAACACTTCCGAGGAGTATCAATGAGGCATATGAGCAAATTCTTAATAAGACTAAAGAAGATCCGATGGTTTGGAAAGCCTTGAGTATTATCTTGGCAGCGAGCCGGCCGCTAACCCTCTCGGAAATGAACATTGCTGTGAATATAGACTATACATCACAGTCCATTGACGACCTCGACTTGGAGGATGACGAGGACTTCAAGATGCGTCTCAGATCTTGGTGTGGATTGTTCGTCTCGATCCATCAAGGCAGTATTTATTTCCTTCACCAAACAGCTCGCGAGTTTCTCCTCTCAGATTTGGCATCGCCCACAACTGTTTCGTCAGAGCTGCACTGGCATCACTCTATCACCACCCAAGACGCACACGCCGTTCTTGCGGAGCTCTGCGTGCTCTATCTGAACTTCTTCAACTCCAACGTTAGCCTTTCGACAGATGTAAATAGCGACGGCGGCCACTCCGTTGATAGCCACGCCTTCTTAGATTACTCGGCCAAAACTTGGGGCGCTCACTTCCGCGAGGCTGGTATCATCGATGATGCTACCATTATACCTTTCGCTCTGAGAATTTGTGATCCGGATTCGAAGAGCTACTCGGTATGGTTTAGAATTTATTGGAAGACTACACGTATGAGGACTACTAAGCATTTTACGGATCTTATGGTAGCGTCGTACTATGGCCACCTTATCGTTGTCAAGCTACTTCTCGAAAAGGGTGCGAAGATCGAGGCGAAAGACAGCGGGCATGGTCGGACGCCACTATCGTGGGCGGCCGAGAACGGGCGCGAGGCCATCGTCAAGCTGCTGCTCGAGAAGGGCGCCGACGTCGAGTCCAAGGACGAAGATGGTGAGACGCCGCTATGGCGGGCCACCGGGAACGGGCACGAGGCCATCGTCAAGCTGCTGCTCGAGAAGGGCGCCGACGTCGAGTCCAAGGACGAAGATGGTCAGACGTCGCTATCGTGGGTCGCCCGGAATGGGCACGCGGCCATCGTCAAGCTGCTGCTCGAGAAGGGCGCCGACGTCGAGTCCAAGGACGAGTATGGTCGGACGCCGCTATGGTGGGCCGCCTGGAACGGGCACGAGGCCATCGTCAAGCTGCTGCTCGAGAAGGGCGCCGACGTCGAGTCCAAGGACGAAGATGGTCGGACGCCGCTGTGGCGGGCCGCCGGGAACGGGCACGAGGCCATCGTCAAGCTGCTGCTCGAGAAGGGCGCCGACGTCGAGTCCAAGGGCGAAGATGGTGAGACGCCGCTATTGTGGGCCGCCGGGAACGGGCACGAGGCTATCGTCAAGCTGCTGCTCGAGAAGGGCGCTGACGTCGAGGCCAAGGATAAATATGGTCAGACGCCGCTATTGCGGGCCGCCGGTAACGGGCACGAGGCCATCGTCAAGCTGCTGCTCGAGAAGGGCGCGAAGATCGAGGCGGAAGACAGCGAGTATAGTCAGACGCCGCTATCGTTGGCCGCCCGGAATGGGCACGCGGCCATCGTCAAGCTGCTGCTCGATAAGGGCGCCGACGTTGAGTGCAAGGACAAATATGGTCGGATGCCGCTATCGTTAGCCGCCCAGAATGTGCATGAGGCCATCGTCAAGCTGCTGCTCAAGAAGGGCGCCGACGTCGAGTCCAAGGACGAGTATGGTCGGACGCCGCTATGGTGGGCCGCCTGGAACGGGCACGAGGCCATCGTCAAGCTGCTGCTCGAGAAGGGCGCTGACGTCGAGGCCAAGGATAAATATGGTCAGACGCCGCTATTGCGGGCCGCCGGTAACGGGCACGAGGCCATCGTCAAGTTGCTGCTCGATAAGGGCGCCGACGTCGAGTGCAAGGACAAATGTAGTCAGACGCTGCTATCGTTGGCCGCCCAGAATGGGCACGAGGCCATCATCAAGCTGCTGCTCAAGAAGGGCGCCGACGTTGAGTCCCAGGACGAAGATGGCCAGACGCTGCTATCGTTAGCCTCCTGGAATGGGCACGAGGCCATCGTCAAGCTGCTGCTCGATAAGGGCGCCGACGTCGAGTGCAAGGACAAATATGGTCGGACGCTACTATTGTTAGCCGCCTGGAATGGGCACGAGGCCATCGTCAAGCTGCTGCTCGAGAAGGGCGCGAAGATCGAGGCGGAAGACAGCGAGTATGGTCAGACGCCGCTATCGTTGGCCGCCCGGAATGGGCACGAGGCCAGCGTCAAGCTGCTGCTTGAGAAGGGCGCCGACGTCGAGGCCAAAGACAGCGAGTATGATCGGACGCCGCTATCGTGGGCCGCCGAGAATGGGCACAAGGCCGTCGTCAAGCTGCTGCTCGAGAAGGGCGCCGAGATCGAGGCCAAGGGCGAATTTGGTCAGACGCCGCTATCGCAGGCCGCCGAGAACGGGCACGAGGCCGTGGTGAGGTTGCTTCTCGACACGGGCAAGGTCGACGTCGACGCGAGAGACAAGAATGGCCGATCACCGCTCTCGTGGGCCGCCGAGAATGAGCACGAGGCCGTCGTCAAGCTGCTGCTCGATAAGGGCGCCGACGTCGAGTCCAAAGACAGCGAGTATGATCGGACGCCGCTATCGTGGGCCGCCGAGAATTGGCGCGAGGCCACCGTCAAGCTGCTGCTCGAGACTGGCGCCGACGTTGAGGCTAAAGACAGCGAGTATGGTGCGACGCCGCTATGGTGGGCCGCCAAGAATTGGCACGAGGCCATCGTCCAGCTGCTGCTTGGGAAGGGCGCCGATGTCGAGGCCAAGGACGAGCGTGGTCGGACGCCGCTATTGCAGGCTGCTGGGTATGGGCGCGAGGCCACTGTCAAGCTGCTGCTTGAGAAGGGCGCCGACGTCAAGTCCAAGGATGAAGATGATCGGACGCCGCTATTGTGGGCCGCCGAGAATGGGCACGAGGCCAGTGTCAAGCTGCTGCTTGAGAAGGGCGCCGACGTCGAGGCCAAAGACAGCGAGTATGATCGGACGCCGCTATCGTGGGCCGCCGAGAATGGGCACAAGGCCGTCGTCAAGCTGCTGCTCGAGAAGGGCGCCGAGATCGAGGCCAAGGGCGAATTTGGTCAGACGCCGCTATCGCAGGCTGCCCGTAACGGGCACGAGGCCACGGTCAAGCTGCTGCTCAAGAAGGGCGCCGGTGTCGAGTCCGAGGACAAATATGGTCAGACGCCGCTATGGTGGGCCGCCGAGAATGAGCACGAGGCCGTCGTCAAGCTGCTGCTCGATAAGGGCGCCGACGCCGAGTCCAAGGCCAAGCATAGTCGGACGCCGCTATGGCGGGCCGCGGAGAGGGGGCACGCGGCCATGGTCAAACTGTTGCTCGAGAAGGGCGCCGATGTCGAGGCCAAGGACGAGCGTGGTCGGACGCCGCTATTGCAGGCTGCTGGGTATGGGCGCGAGGCCACTGTTAAGCTGCTGCTTGAGAAGGGCGCCGACGTCAAGTCCAAGGATGAAGATGATCGGACGCCGCTATGGTGGGCCGCCGCGCATGAGCACGAGGCCATCGTCAAGCTGCTGCTCGAGAAGGGTGCCAACGTCGAGGCCAAAGATAGCGAGTATGGTCAGACGCCGCTATCGCAGGCCGCCGAGAATGGGCATGAGGCCATCGTCAAGCTGCTGCTCGAGAAGGGCGCCGACGTCGAGTCCAAGGACGAAGATGGTGCGACGCCGCTATGGTGGGCCGCCGAGAATGGGCATGAGGCTATCGTCAAGCTGCTGCTCGAGAAGGGCGCTGACGTCGAGTCCAAGGACGAAGATGGTCAGACGCCGCTATCGCAGGCCGCCGAGAACGGGCACGAGGCCGTGGTGAGGTTGCTTCTCGACACGGGCAAGGTCGACGTCGACGCGAGAGACAAGAATGGCCGATCACCGCTCTCGTGGGCCGCCGAGAACGGACACGAGGAGGTGGTCAAGATGCTCCTCGACACGGGCAAGGTCAATGTCGACTCGAGAGACAAGAATGGCCGATCGCCGCTCTCGTGGGCTGCCGCTGCCACGTATGGAAACGAGGCGGTGGTCAAGATGCTCCTCGACACGGGCAAGGTCGAGGTCGACTCGAGAGACAAGAATGGCCGATCGCCGCTCTCGTGGGCTGCCGCTGCCACGTATGGAAACGAGGCGGTGGTCAAGATGCTCCTCGACACGGGCAAGGTCGAGGTCGACTCGAGAGACAAGAATGGCCGATCGCCGCTCTCGTGGGCTGCCGCTGCCACGTATGGAAACGAGGCGGTGGTCAAGATGCTCCTCGACACAGGCAAGGTCGACGTCGACTCGAGAGACGAGAATGGCCGATCGCCGCTCTTATGGGCTGCCGAGAAGGGACGCAAGGGCAAGTATGGTGGAATGCCGCTTCCGCGGGCCGCCGAAAAGGGATATGAGGCGGTGGTCAAGCTGCTCCTCGACACGGGCAAGGTTGACGTTAACTCGAGAGATAAAGAGGATGGCCGATCGGCGCTCTCGTGGGCCGCTGAGGAGGGAAACGAGGCGGTGGTCAAGATGCTCCTCGACACGGGCAAGGTCGAGGTCGACTTGAGAGATAAGAATGGCCGATCGGCGCTCTCGTGGGCCGCTGAGGAGGGAAACGAGGCGGTGGTCAAGATGCTTGTTGATATGGGCAAGGTCGACATCGACGCGAGAGACACAGAGTATGACGGGACGCCGCTCTCGTGGGCCGCCGAGAATGGACATGAGGCGGTAGTCAAGCTGCTTGTTGATACGGGGAAGGTTGACGTCGACTCGAGAGATAAGGATAACCGGACGCCGCTCTGGTGGGCTGCAACGAATGGACATCAGGCGGTGGTCAAGTTGCTTGTCGATACGGGCAAGGTTGATGTCGACTTGAGAGATAAGGATGACCGGACGCCGCTCTGGTGGGCCGCTGGGAACGGACACGAGGCGGTGGTCAAGTTGCTTGTCGATATGGGCAAGGTCGATATCGACTCGAGAGACAAGTATGGCTGGACGCCGCTCTCGAGGGCCGCCGGGAATGGACATGAGGCCGTGGTCAAGATGCTTCTCGACACTAGAAAGGTCGACGTCGACGCAAGAGACACAGACTATGACCAGACGCCGCTCTTGTGGGCCGCCGAGAAGGGACACGAGGCGGTGGTCAAGCTGCTCCTCGACACGGGCAAGGTCGATGTCGACGCGAGAGACAATGAGTTCGGCCTGACGCCGCTCTCGTTAGCTGCCTCGTTGGCTGCCCGGTACGGACACAATGCCGTGGTCAAGCTGCTCCTCGACACAGGCAAGGTCGACGTCGACGCGAGAGACAAGAATGGCAGGACGCCGCTCTCGTGGGCCGCCGAGAGCGGAAACGAGGCGGTCGTCAAATTGCTCCTCGACCCAGGCAAGGTCGACGTCGACTCAAGAGACAAGAATGGCCGATCGCCGCTCTCTTGGGCCGCCGAGTATGGACACGATGCCGTGGTGAGGTTGCTCGTCGACACAGGCAAGGTCGACATGGCTGCAGAAGATGTATGCGGTCTGACTGCATCTCAATTCGCGTACTTTAATCATCATACAAGGATAGATGACTTATTACTAGCACGGGGGGCCCCGACTATACCTGACTTCTACGGCCTACAGGCTTTATTCGCCGAACCCCCAAGTACCATCTGATATGATGCTCTCCACCTGGTTCACATTTTTCCAGTATTATTCGATGTTTACGCAGTCTCTGAAAGTCCTAATAGCAGTGCTTTACCCAAGCTGCGTGCCAATCCTTAAGCTGTTCTTCTGATGATCTTGATCTTAAAGTTCAGGCAAGAACCTTTCGTACATACGGACTCGTTACGAATTGCGTATGGCAGTTCTGTTCTTCGTTACTTCAGGCCAATTGCTACAGTGGCCTCAATGACGCTAGAAAGGGCGACGAGGAAGGGATCATGACTCAAGATGCTGGTGTACATTTGGACCAGTCGTAGTGGTAGACAGTTTGTGAGAGCTTCGACACAGAAGGGTGGAGTATCATGTCATCAATTCACGACACCCATGCTCTGCCCTAGGGCTGCTTCGCTCCCTCATGTCCGCTGCCGTCGGTCCCCTGTCCTTCGCATTTTGACATGTAAATCTTTCGATCTCTTCGCTATGGTCTTCGATACGCTCCCATCAGCGTGGGTAGAGCAGTCAGAACAGATGTGGTGACTCTTCGAGTCACGCACATGCTGTTGCAAGCTCTCCAAAGAGCCAAATGGCCTTTCGCACCTTGTGCAATAGGCATGGCGGCTTGAATCGCGAATGTGTCGCTCGAGCGCCGCCTCAGACACGAAACCTCTTTCGCAGTAACTCATCGCCATGAGCAGAAGAAAATGTGACTATCCGCAATGTGCATGAATGAAAGGTAAACGCTGCGGGGTAAACCCATGTGGTCGCAAGGCTGCGAGGAAAAGGGCGGGGAACAAGGCTGGGTGGTACTCTCTTGACTGGGCGAAGGCGCGTAATGGGTGAATGTCATTGGTTCTGGTGATTGGGTATTTTGCTACTATTGGATACGGTCCGTCACATTCGATCAAGAGGTTAGTGTTCAATAGGGTGTGGATCCTGAGTCTGTTGATTGTCTTGATCTTGGATGCCTCCGGCCCCCTCTTTTCTTAAGAGGGGTTTTTAGTCATCTGACCATAAGTTTTCGGTCATTAGCTGTCACGGTGTGTATTTTGGATTACTGGGCGTGCAATTGTTATAGCAATATCCTTCTAGCTACTTCAGCATAAAGGATGTACAGGAACTCAGAGCGGGGACCTGCCGCAATCAAGAACAGACATACACCCAATCAGACACATCAGACAATCTGGGCTCGTGACATTAGCTGCAAAACCACAAAACACGTTTGATTGATAGTAAAATTCCAACAAATGTATAAATTATAATACTGCTAACCGTATGCTAAGGCTCCTCTCGGCCCTTCAACTTCGTACAGTAATGTACTTGAAGAGACCCATATGATCGTCGACCCGGAAATCTCGCGTTGAACCGCCGATGAATCTCTGACCAGGTGAGCTGTTGAGATAACTGGCCATTTTCGCCCTCCTTCAATTCAAGGAGGAAACTGTCTTCTTCCGGTGTGAACTTGGCTTTCGCACCCTCCCCACGATTTACTCGGCCGGTCGAGCCTGCAAATGTTCGGCGGCGCCTGTTATCAATAGCATCGCCCGCGTTGTCATGCTTCGAGCACATGTCCCAGTCAAACTGTAACTGAAAGGTGGCTACACCATCGAGAACAACCCGCTTCAGTATGACGTTATCAATTTGCCATTCCTGAAATGTCGCAGAATCATGCTCAGTATCTGAATCGTCTGATGTAGTGTATGACGAGGACGGGCTGAGTATTCGAGGTGCTGGCGTCCGATCACTTGGTACCGATCGTGCGGTGTTCGTTGGGCGTTGGCGAGTGGTATGCCCGTAGCGACGGCGCTTGATGCTAGCCAAGGGCTCATGGGAACGACGGCGTTTGTGTCGACGCTTTGTATAAGCCTCATCCTCATCCTCGTCGCCATCATGATCCAACTCGCTGTCCTCGAGGCTCTGAGCAAGACGGTATTTGGCATCGTCAAGCAAGGCCTCAATAGGAACGCTCCCACTGCAACGCTTTGACCTGTCGCCCCCGTCGAGCTCTGGAGACCGTTGACCTCTTTCGTCGTTATCGACATCGGCGTCGCCTTCGCCGTCGTCACTCTCATAGTAATCACCATGGAGGATATATGAACCTCGGGCACTTCGTCTAGGGGTCGGTGCACGGGAGCCTCCTGACCCTGTAGAACAAGACTCACCATCGCCTCCACAACGGCCTCGGCCCCCAATCCTGTCATCAACTGGTTGCTTCCCCGAAGAGCAGACTTCAGGC